TAATATTGGTATGTTTCTGTGTATTACCCCTTAAACTGGAGACTTAAGAGACTTGGGTTAGCTTAGAATGTTCTTAGCCATTGGATACACTTAGGGGAGTTTATCTTGCCAAGGCTGACACTGGTGTGCTACCAAAGAGTTGGAGCAGCTTGTCTCAACTGCTTGGATTAGACCTCAAGCATAGCTACTGGGTGTTTATTAGAAACAACTGAACCCAGACCAATTTCTAGTTATGCCATGGACCTTGAAGATAGATGGGCAAAACTGGAAAGTTACACATAACCTCAGACTTGATTATGGTACTACACTAGGTGTTGGACTAGGCTATCTTTGATAATGCCAACCAGTGAGATTCATTAAGGGCAAATACCTAGGTATGTTGGGGTAGTCTAAGAATTCACTTGAGTAGGTGATCATAGTGATAGGATCGGCCACTTTATTGGACAAAGTGAATGTTAGGGTTTACACTCTGTTTGATGGAAACCTAAACTGTTGGCAATGGATTTCACCTATATTTGAAATATGGTTTTGCAATATATATATACAATACTATTTTATGAAAAGGTTTGCAAAGGGTTTTAATCCCGAGATCCATTCAAACAGAGGGTGTGACACTGCACCTTGCAACCAGATGAGAGGTCCTTCCCTGTCAGGCAGTGTTTTGATCATTATGGGCCGAGAGGTTAAGAGTAAGAGACAATTACAAGGCTGATTACCTGATGGGCTTTATCTCACTTAAGCCCATTATCCTTGGGTCTTTATAGGGTGGCTAAATCCAATGATCATTTATATATAAATGTTGGGCCCAAACTGTACCAATGTTGATTGGGTCAAAGGTTCACTGCCTTGAGCAGTGAATTCGGCCTAGCCTCTTTCAAAGGTTGGGCTGAACCCTTGTGCACTTATGTGAGATCATTGTGGGGTCCCACATCATACAATATTAGGCCTAAAGTGGCTATGCAACACCTTGGGTTGCAAGCCTTTGAAGTAGATGGGCCTAAGGCCCATAATTAAGAAATTAAGTTAACTGTCAAATTGTCATGTGCTTTGGGTCAAATCTGAGTTTGGTAATGGGTATGGAGCACCTATCCTCTTAAGAGGATAAGGCTTATCTCTTAATAGAGTCCAGATCCAAATCAGATTTGGATAATCTCCTAATTGGATTAGGAGAGTGCTCCACAAGGAGATAAAAGAAGAAGAGGGTGAAGCAGACTAGAACACCTCTCACTCTTGTTCTCTCCTCTTCTCCGTCTCCCAAGAAACCCTATCACGACCTAGGCTCTCAAGAACTGATTTTTGATAAGTTTTTTGTTAGGAACCTGCCTAACTCAGGGCTCTTCGAGGGGCCAACTTCCTGAATTCTTGGAAGGAGAGAGAGAGAGAGAGTTTAATGCTGAAAGAGTCATCCCCTTATTCCTTTTTTGCTCTACTACTTATAGTTTTACAATCTTGATTGTTACAGTTGTTACAAGTGGATGG